AGACAGCGTGGGGTGCTGGGTCAGACCGGAGCTCATAAGGGCTAATAGGGGAGGACAGACTGGGGCAGGGGGTGAATGGGAGTTGAGGCACAGGGCCACAGGGGGAGGGAGGTGCAGGGCCACATGGTGATGAGGAAGGGTGTGCAGAGCTACATAAGAACAAAGGGTGACTGAGTGGGACCACAGAGACACATGGGGACGGGGGAGGGGTACAGGGACACAAGGGGATGGAGGAGTGGCTGTCTGGGTGGAGGGACACATGGACAGAGGGTTGAGGAACACATGGGGACAGGGGCAGATGTGCCTGGGTGAATGGGAGAGGCTAGGGGTCAGTCAGGGTCTGCATAGGGGAAGCTCCCTAACAATCCCGTCCCGCCCCCCGCCAAAAAACTGTTCCATACTTTTCCCACCCATACCCAACAACCCTCCAAGTTTATACCCAGGCTCCTTCCCAGCAATTTCCTTTCCTTTCCGTCAGCTCCTCCGTTACCCTGACTCCCGCAAGCCTTTGCACTGCTTCTGAGTGGTGTGGGAAATACGGTTCTGTATTGTAGTTTAAATGAATTATTACTCAGAGTTCTGTATTAATATGCATAGTAAGGAATCCATTTGTCAAAAAACATTTCCTGAAACGTTTTTGTTCTTTGTATTGTTACAGACATACTTGCTGATAGGGTATTTTGAAATAAATGACCAAAAATAATTGAAACTGGTGTGATTATATTGTGTTATTTTGACAAATAAAATATGCAGAATTTTGCAGAATTTTAAAATATTGTGCGCAGAATTCCCCCAGGAGTAAATATTGCCGTGCTTTAAAGGCTTATGATTGCAAGATGTAACTGTTGCATTGTGTCTTTTGAGGAATTTGTCAGGATTAAAACTGCCCTTAAATAAACTGGGAAGTCTTTCATCGTTTTGAGAATAGCACAGAAGTAATGGTATGTGCCAAGTGCCCCCAATAATCAATCTGCAGGTCGCATTCAGTGCATAAATCCACTTGCAAGTGGTCTTATATATGTTAAAAAATTATTTTTTATCCTTCATAAAATCCACTATGTAGTCTGGATTCACTGATGATGCATTCTGGAACATCACTACTGACCCTAGAAAGACCCAGCAGATATCAGACTATAAAGAATTTTTATAAAGTTATATAACATGAGTTTTTAGTATTAAATGGCTATTACCACAGAATGATTACTAGTGACATTCAGCACTTTTTTCTGTTTAACTTAATATTGGCTGATACATTTGTGAGCAGAAACTGATCTTTGTTGCTTAATTTTATATTTTATTTCATAGTCAGATCTTTACTTACGAGTAAAGAGCCTTTTTTGCTTTGTTTCAGTCACTCAGACACCAAGATACCTTAGTTTTCAAATTTAAATTTTTTTAACCATACCCTCATTGTTCTTCCCTTCTGCTCTGTCATTATGAAAATGATTCTGTGTATGTGGAATAAACTCCATTTATTTGTGTTTGTGTGTGTTTGAGAAACACAGGGAGTTTGATTGCTTCAGTAATTGGATTTTCTCTTGAATGGAGTTTTCACATACTGTACCTTTGCTCCCTTTTAAAAAACATTTTTCTTTAACATTTTAGTTTATAGTCAAAAGTGGTATAAAAACAGCACAGAGCAATGTCGTATTTTAGGCAGGCATACTGGATTGGGCTCTAATTAATTGCTGTTGCTGAATAGACTCTCTGGTCCTTACTCCATTTCCCAAACCTAGTTTTTCCATTGTGTGTAGAATAATCCCATCCAGGAAGAAATCTAATTACTAAGATAATTAGCACCTTATCACCAAACAGAATTCAGACATTTTTGCAGTTTATGAATTTTAAAAATGTTTAATTTCCTTTTCACTCAGGGAGGGAGAGAAGAACACATTTTACTGAATCTAGCTTGATTGAACCTTATAATTCATGTTGCCTTAGAAACAGGCAAGCTGGGATAAAGGATGGTATCACCAGTACTTTAGGCAGTAAATGCTTACACTGCTGCCAACAATATCATTAAAATGGCTAAAATAACTAACATATAATGGTCTTGTCAAATTTAATGAGTGTTTTATTAATGTTACGAGAAATGTCAGCTGGTGCTATTTGATAGTAATTTGAAGTCATATATTTTGTCTCATGTAAGCCTGCCATTATACCTCAAAATATGTGCCTTGTGAGCAGGGGAAGTGTCATAGAATGCAAAATTCCTCTATATTTATTCAGTTCTTAGCTACCGTGGATGTTTACATTACTTCATTTCAAGTAGAACTGTATATCCTGCCGCTTATGTCAGGCTTAGTAAACCAGTGGGAGCCGCTCCAGGCCCTTTGGCCCACAGTATCAGATTGTTTCACATTATATTTACATTTCAGCTATTGGTTCCCACTTAACTTAATTTAGCAAGAGAAAAGTCCTTCCCATCTAGTGGGACAAATCTCTCAAAAATACCTATTTTATGTGTAAGGTCAAATAAATGTTGTGGGGGTTTTAATCTGCCGTGTTTTGACTTCAGTCTTAAACCTTAGGTTCTGAACTCATAAATGTAATATAGAATGGAGGAAAAGATTTTTATGTTTAAATAAAAACCTGAGGAGGAGGAATATTGTGACATTAGTATCTAGATGACTTCCATGCAGCTAACTACACTAAAAAATAATGGCATTTGAAAGAGTGAGAGCAAGCAGCATGGCTCATATATGCAAGATTTAAACAAAAATCCTGCCATCCTAAGTTTTCCCATGTTGTACCTCCCACTCTGCAAGCCTTGCAGCAGTCTGAGAAATATAATTTAATATAATTTTTCTTGTTCATTGGCTTTTCTGTAGTTATCATAATATCACCTCTCAAGCATTAATTAATTTAGCCTTTCAAACAAACCTGTAGGAAAGTAGTTATCTCCTTTTTATAGATGGTGGATGGAGACACAGAAAGACTAAGTGACTTACTGAAGGTAAAACAGGAAGTCTGTAGAAGAGCTGGCATTAGAAATCAGATCTCCTGACTCCCAGTTCTGTGTTCTAACTACAAGATCAAACTAACCTTCCTGTCTTGAACTGACCCTCACTTCTGTGGCACATTAGAAGAACTACTTAATTTGCTGGAGAGATGCCTCTTAATTCAGTGTGTGACATTTTTGTCATAGGGTCTTTGAATTACTATTAGCAAATGCCATGGTGGAAGAGACGGGGAATCAAACCAGGGTCTTGTGAAAGACAACACGGAATAGTCCCATTGGTGGTTTCATTAAGCGCATATCCCTTTTTATTGCCCTAGAACAAATATTATTTCTCTTTGGACATCTAAATATTACACAGATGGTATTCAGATAATAAGTATTTGTTCATCTATGCTAATAGATACTTGGAGAGGAAAATGAGAGAACCAGCACCACCAGTGTCCTGTCTGGGGAATCCATCCCAGGTTTTGGGAGGAAGCAGTCAGAAAGGAGGAAGATGAGTGTGGGTCAGGGAACAGATCTGCATCTGCATGCTTGGGGTCTACCACAGAACTGCAGAGTGGCTTAGGGACCTGATCTTCAACTCAGGACCAGATATCCTTTCTTTTTCTTGGCCTGAGGAAATCAGATAGGACCAGTCTTTACACTACAGCATTCACACACTTAGAGTTTTTGTTTTTTAATGTCCCAATCCTTGTTTTGGTATAAACAAGTCAACCTACTGTATACCTATTTAGCTCTTACATTCCCTTAAAAGTCATATTCCTTCCAGTTTGTCAATATGTTTGGTATTGGGGTGCCAAGAAACAGCTTAGTATTGTAAGGCTGTATTGTAAGTGCCATATTGATGCTGATGCTTATATAGCACTTTTCATCAGTAGATCTCAAATGGAGATCAGCAGATGGGGAAACCCAGGCACAGAAAGGTGAAGTGAATTGCCCAATGTCATCTAGCAGGCCTGTGGCAGAGCTGGGAATAGAATCTAAATCTCCTGAGTCTTTAGAATCTTTAGAATCTAAATCTCAGGTCAAGTTCTCTGTCCACTAGCAACACTGCCTAAGTAGGGACACTAATTTCTCTTAATCATGAGATGTATCTAGCTAAGGTAAAAAGTAAAGAAAAGTTGCTGTTGCTAAATAAAAGGGTAGTTTTGTGCTGGTGCCTTAGAATAATTTGAATTTTTGTAGTGAGACAAAGTAGGTGAGATAATATCTTTTATTGGATCAACTTCTGTGGGTGAACGAGACAAATGTTCAAGCCTGCACAGAGTTCTTCTCAAAAGCTTCATTTCTCATAAGCTTGTCTCTGTCACCAACGGAAGTCGGTCTAATAAAAGATATTACCTCACACACCTTGTCTCTCTAATATGCTAGGACCAACATAGCTACAACAGCACTGCAAACAACAATTTATTTGTTTTTGTCTTTTTCATGGGGAGAGTGGGTTTGGATGATTAGACATATGTTAAGGAGGAATGAGTTAGAAGGTTGGTTCTGACTAAAGGAAGCTTTTGTTAACTACAAAAGCCGAATTGCACTAGAATTCCTAAACTCTTCAGGATGTCAGGACCACATCTTTGCCCTACCCTTTCTGCAGTGTTACAGCAGTGCAAGGGATTAACTAATTCTAGTAATAACGCCCTGGAGCTTATAAACTTTGCGGACTAACTACAATTAATGAATTTACAAGCTCTGCTGGTAACCTGTGGTTTCAAGTGCCTGAGGAATTAGTCCAGAATTAGTCCATTCTTGGGTTGTTTTTTCAAGTTCTGGGTCAAATATTTACTGCAACTTCTTTCTTGTTTTCCATTCTTTGGGTTCTCACCCATGTGCCACGTTTTTCATTGTCAAAGAAATGGCCATTAAAAATCCCACTGTATTTTTTCTAGAACTGGTGTTAAATCTAGTTCTCTAGCCAAAGGCAAGTTGAATACGAGTAATTATTCCTTTCATTGTCAAGGGAATGAGATTTTTATGTAGGGTGAGACTTGGTGTACCCAGTCCGCAGTTTAACCTTTTTTTCCCACTTCCATTGCAGAGTGCCTGGAATAACAATTGCTACAGACATCATCTGTGGTTTTCCAGGGGAGACAGATGAAGATTTTCAAGACACCATGAAACTTGTAGAAGAGTACAGGTTTCCAAGCCTCTTTATTAATCAGTTTTACCCACGTCCAGGGACTCCTGCTGCAAAAATACATCAAGTTCCAGCCCTAGTGGTAAGATATATTTTCTTGAATCATTGTACTTGATAGCTCATTTTATGTAGTTTTCATGCTGTGCCAAATGTGAATGTACAGTATGCACTGTACTGAATTGAAACATAAGAAATGTTTATTGGAGAATATGGTTTTGCAGCAGAATTATGCCACAATTAAAATGCAGTTTTATATATTTCTATAAAATAAACTGATTGCCTTTCAGAGCTTAGCTAGAACACAGGATGCCTTGCCAGATTTGAAGTTTAAATTACTGCTCAAATTATTAATTGGGGCAAAATAGCGTCTATAGAAGGTTCAAGTGGTTCTTTTCACTTTGACTTTATAGTCATATATTCTTCCTAACAGGTTTTCTGGGTGAGTCTCTTCTTACCAAGAAAAGGACAAAGATTACATTTCATATTTTCTTCCAATTTTTGAAGACTTGTATGAATCCAGTGATATCATACACATTGCAAGTGATTCTATGCAAAATAGTATGAACTGAATGATAGTTATCTTTGAATTATATACTAAAGGTCAAATTTGCATGCGACTACTTCCATTCCGTTGACTACTACTTCATAAATATCTTCCATGATTCTGCACTGTTTTAAAATCTAGTTTCTGCCTTCAGCCTATATGGCAAATGTCACTGGTGAAATTTGTGTATGTAATTGTAGTTAATCTTCCAGGTTTCAGGTACTCCCCAATCTTCTATAGATGGCCGTTGTGGTTATATAACTCTTTCCAATTATCAAACCATCTCATCTCAAAATCCCTAAGAGGATAAAAGCCACATTTTAACATGAGGTAGTTGGCTATCAATTGTATTCTAATTGATATAGATAATTTATATTCCCTTTTTGTCATAAGTGATGATAATGACAATTATGTTTAAAGGTTTAGTTTGATAAATAATCTACTTCGAGTTTATAACGGTGTAAATGTGCATTACTTGCCTAACCTGAATCTTTGAACAAGAGAATATACCATTCTGCTGCTTATAAAACCATTTAAACTTTTCATTGGTGTTTGTACTAGTGTAAATAACAGTTGTATGCACTGCATTTCCAATCAGGATAAAATCACAGCCAGCTAATGTAGGCAGATAAGAATACATCATACTTCATTTTGTGGGGTCATCATGGCTCACCACTCTTTGAAGAGAAATCAATGAGTGGGTCAGCCACTCTTTGAAGAGAAATCAATATATGTATTGTTGTATCTCTTTCTCAATGTCAAAACCTATACAGATATAGTTTCTACTTACTGTCAATATATACCATACCTTTAATGAAAATGGAGAATTGGGTTAAATTTGTTTCCTTTTATTTTATTGTTCAAAGAAGTTAGCTTTGAGCCATTGTTTAAAAAAAAAAGGATTAAGAGCAACTTATATAGGAAAGTATAGAGGATTTGGGCACAAAAGATGCTGTTGTGATGTGATATGATAGTGTAAGTAAGCTCACACAGTTGACTGAATTTTTTCTTTCTAAAATGCCCATCACGTTGTCATTGTGGATGCCTATATTTAAAATACAGCTGAGCAATTTTGGCAGTCCAGGCAGGTTAAAAATGTAAATATTTGGGTTAATTTCTGGTTTTGGGTCACACAGATACAACCCCATTATCCTCCGTGGATTGCACAGCAGTAGAGGAATTTGGCCTCTTGTTTTTTTCCTGCAGAGTGTAGTTAAATACAGTTATACTGACACTAAATATTAATCACATAAGAACTAACTTATTTTTTTAAAAAAGATCGGTTTAAATTTGGGGGGTGATGACATAATTTTAGTAAAGCTTGACATTTTCACTTTGGTCTTTTTTCTGTAATTTGCTACTTTGGGGGAATTAGAACCTTCAAAAAGCTATGTCTGCTTATGTTCTAGTGCTGATGAAAAACTGTAATTAACAGATATTCTTTTTCTCTCCCACCTTGTTTCTTTGTTGTAATCTTCGGCAACTCTGAGTTATATATTCTTTCATCTCTTTCTGGAAATGCAGGATAAACTATCAACTGGAGCAGGAATAGTTTATGCTAATGTCTTGCCTTTTATATTCACAATGCCTCTAGATAGTAGCTAATGGGCCCTCCTTGCAGTGTCAAGAATGCACAGGCATTTCGTTTTTCATTCCTTGTCCAGAGCACCTTATAATTACATATCTTTCTCAGTTGAGAGAAGAGACTATTATCTAACCAGGGACTCCCACCCCTTTCCCATTTTTTACTGTACACATAATCTTATTGTTAATGAACTGACTTTAGTATGTTCACATAGAAACAAGCAGCACATGAACCTATTACAGCAAAAAAAAATTATATATAGTACATCATATCTCCGATCTAATCTCATAAGCTAATTCTTTCTCAGGAAGTTCATATGCTATTAGCTATGCTGCGTATAGGTTTCTTTCAGCAGTATTTCTTCTTATAAAGAATTTTTGGGCACATTATTTAACTAGGGGCACCAAACCAGTGACTAACAATGATATTACGTAACAGTTGCCAACCTTCTCTTATTGCTCAGTATTGGCTATGTTGGCTGTTAGTTTTAGCATTGCAGATATCTGCAGTCGGAAAGACGTATTGCTGTTTGCAATCTGCTCCCCGCCTGTGCGTTGTGTTTCAAGACAACCTCATGGTCCTAATCAAGTGGTATCTATGGTGGCAACATATTTGCCCTGTCAAATCCTTTAAGTTCACTCTTTTCCAGAGGACCACCTTTCCTCCAGGCACAGTCCATGAAGTAGGCATAGTAATGTTAACACTTCGTTATTTGGTGGAGGTGGTAAATTTGATAACTTTTTTGGAGGAAAATCTGAGATGGGAAAATCTCATTTGGGCTTGACATAATAGAGTATTCAATCAATTCTACTTGGAATCTTTTTTCCACATAAAAATGATATGTTATCATTGAAATCCATACTGGCACTGATCTTCTGTGTCCAAAAGGGCAGGTGACACTAATCCACTACTTTTTATGATCAGAACAGGCAGAGAGGCTGTAGTTCTTCCTTATTCTGTTGGAAAACTACCAGCCTTGGAAGGTCAAATATATCTAAATGACTCCATCACCTCACAACCATTACTTTTTCTTCACAAAACACTTGTGAGGCAGGGAAGTGTTGTTATTCCCAGTTTACAGAACTGAAGCATTGTAAGACTGAGTTTCCCAGTGTCACAGAAGGCAGAGCCAGAAATTGAATCCAGAGTTCCCGAGTTCCAGTTCAGTGCCTTAACCATAAGAGAACATCCCTCCTCGCACATCCTCTAACAAAAAGCTAGTTATTTATTATTGTATTTTATTATTTTTGTTGAAGAAGTACCAGCTGAGATCTAGGCACCATACAAACACTGAGGCAATTATTTTATGTATATCTTCACACATCCTTTTGATTCCCAGAGGTTTACAGAAGATTAGTCAAAATATGGCACAAAAATCCCTATTGATAGTGTGATTTTCAGTCCTTGTTGGCAATCCCCCTGTTTTGCCTGAAAGAATCTCTGACTATGCTGACCAGCTGTGATTGGGAACCTAGAAAGAAAACCATTACATTGATATACTGAAGAGGTACCTGGTAGAAATTCATACTTATAGGTACATTTAAAGTGGGTTTAAAATACGGCATAAATTCCTGTTTTTCCTAAAAGCTAGTGGTCTATCAGTGTGAAATTTTACACATGCACTTTGCATTTTCTATGTAGCTTTTCTATGGATTCTCTATATAATTTTTTAATAAATCATTGAAATTGGTCTCTGACTGAAATTTGGCCTTGTCACTGACAGCATAAGGAGTCACTAATTGTTATGGGGCATCTTAGCTATATTCCCTCTGGGAACAAGGTGAGGGAATTGCCATCTTTGCTAAGGCTCTATTGGCCTTACTTCCATTAAGAATCATAGGAGATGGCAGCCATTTTGAGATGTCAGGTTTTCATGTAATTCTCTGTAGAAAAACATCATTCATCAGCCCCTGCTGAAGAAGAAATTTTCAGTTATGAAGAATAACAGTGCAAAAAAAAAAGAAGACTAGTAAGCCTAAAGGTATGTTTTCAAAACATGTGTACCAGTTCTACTCAAAGAGACGCTGGATGGGGAAACTCAGGTGTGGGGCGTGTGCCAGTGAGCGTGCACAAAGCCACCTAAGTCCTGACGCTCCTGAACTGCGTGGAGCTCATTGGTGGGATTCTCAAACTAATGCCCCAATCCCCCTCCACCTATTTCACCACCACCACCACCACCTTCTCTGTTTTTTGTGGGAAAGGGCTGGCCTGACTAGGCATCTAACTCCAGTAAAGGATTCATGGTTGTGAATTCCAAGTGGTGATACGCACCTCCCTTTGGCCTGGATTAGATGTCTATATCCCTTTGAAGGGTGGGGCTTGTGATCCACTCCTCTCCTCAGTATTTCCTGTTGACTAGCCTAGGTGTTTACCTCTTCTGCGTGCTGGCTTTCGTGGATCCCTTAACTCTCCCCATGCATTGTATAGGAAGCCTGGACACCTAACTTGGGGATGTGAATCCCACTGGGTGGTAGAGTGCCTAAAGTTAGGCATTGCAGGGTTGAGCGTAAGTCCCCTTTGTGGATCTAGCCCCTTGTGACTAAAACAGGATTTGTCATGATACATAGAGGGGTATTGCTGTAATATACAGCTCTGTACATCTATATTCTCTCTAATGGTAAAACTTGCCAGCTCCAAATATTAGAAAGGATAAAGTAAATTTTACTTGCTGATAATTAAAGTTCTTTTGCTCAAATCCCATACACAAGTATGCATTCATGTAACCCTATTATTCCCACTTAGGGCTGAACTGGGGTTGCAGAAGGCTTCTGTCTCAGTGCAAAAAGCTGCCTATGCAGTGTTTATGGTTAATTTTTAAATTTATTAAAACAACTCCAGGGTACTCACAGCTCAGCATGCAACCAAAGATACTGACTTGTGTGATAAAGTCAAAGAAGTTAGTTACCTGTGGGTAACCTCAACTCTATCCAAGCTTTCAAAAGGTAGTTATTTT